ACACACACACACACACTCTCTCTCTCTCTCTCTCTCTCTCTCTCTCTCTCTCTCTCTCGCTGACAGAAAAAAAGAAACCATTCGCGCTGAACACTATCGCGCTGATCCAATTCATCACGTACGGCGCCATTATCGTACCGCCCAATTTCTCCTGGCAGAGATACATCGAGCTCGGTTCCCGGGGTTCCCCAGCTGGAAGAGAAATGCTAGCAACAATGCGCCTGACCCGGATGACCTCCTGCCTGCGAAGGAGAAGCCGTTCAAGCCGAAACAGCAGAGATCCGGGATGTGGAACTTTGCTGTAAAGTTCCTCTTGGATCAAACCATCGCCGGGGTGTGTAACATTCTCTTGTTCATCGTGTTGATCAACTTGTTGAAGGGGATGGGTTTGGGGAGGGTGTGGGAGTTGGTTTGTGAGGTATGGATTTATTCTTTCTTTCTTTCTTTCTTTTCTTCGTGTTGATTGATATCTTCGTTTTCCTTCTCCGTTTTGGAGGGCGATGCTGATAAGCGTAGGATTTTGGCCCCATCATGATGGCTCGTTTGAAGTTTCGGCCTATCGTGTCGGCGCTTATGTATACTGTTATTCCTGTGGACCGGCGAGTGGTGTTCGGGAGCGCCTGTGGAGTTATCTGGGGGATTTATTTGAGCCTTTATGCCGTTGTTTGAAATGTCTCGTACTGCCTTTAGATTCTGCGTCGTTAGCACTAGGGTAAATTATAGATTCTATTAATTGTTCCATGCAAAGAAGAATCCGTATATACATAGCCTAACAAAGCAAGAAAAGTCCACTTCGCTGAATATCAGACGTGGAACTTTCCCAATATCCTTGATAAAGAGGCAGTACGCCATATTAAATAGATTTTGTAGACTGCATTATGACAAGCATGAAGCGAAACGTAACCCTACCCCTCGAGCAATGGCTAGAAGCAGTACCGCCTAAGCAGCCATCGCCTCAATTTTCTTGCCTTTCACGGACAGCCACTGTATAGGAAGTGCCGCAAAGAGAGCAATTGCCCCTATGGCCACTGCAGCATAGAATGTCTCGGTGATAGCGTCGTTGTAGGCCTCAAGAACTGTAGGTAAGAGGTCCTTCGACACAGCCTGCCGCAGCATCGTAGCCCCTGCGCCAACCACCTTAGCAACATCAACCTCAGGGGCTCTAGCAAGAATGTTCTTGCGCAGTTGGTTTTGAAAAACATTCTGAGCGATAGAGACGAAGAGCGCCCCCCCTAGTGTCTGGGAGAACATGACAAAGGCCGTTGCAGTGGGAACATCGGCAATCGGGAGAGCCGCCTGAACAACAATCATGGGTTGCTGCAACCCTAGGCCCACGCCAATTCCGTATAAAACCTGATACCCAATCCATGCAGCATCACCTGAATCCACATTCAACGTGCTGAGAAGCCCGCCGCCAATGGAGATGAGAATCGGCGTGGCGATCATGAACGGTGTATAGTATCCAACCATAGTGACACAAGCACCAGCAGCAATGGAGGCGACAATCATGGGAAGGAGCAAAGGAAGGTTCATGATGCCTGACCTGGTTGCTGAGACACCCTTTATCGCTTGGAACCAGATGGGAAGCTATGAAAAGCACAAATTAGCATGTGTCTCTGTGACCGTAGCAGGTACGAGCTTACATAGTAGATAAAAATGAAAAATGCTCCACCAATACAGAAGCTGTAAAACGCTGCGCCCCATACATTCCGATTCTTGACCAGCCGGGGAGGCACCGTAGCCTTGTCTTGCTGCCACAACTGTACGCCGCAGAAGGCAATGAGAAGGACCCCGAAAACAACAAAGAGGGCTATGATCCGAGCACTGTTCCAAGCATACATAGTGCCTCCCCATTGTAGCGCGAGCAATACACATATGATTGATGGCATGAAGAGGACAGTTCCAGGGAAATCCAGCTGCCCCATTTGGTTTTTGAAACCAGACTTGTCCTTGACAGACTTTGGCGCCTTGAATAAGAAAAGGATGAAGAAACCGGTCACTCCGCCGAAAGGTAAGTTGATATAAAAACACCATCTCCAACTGAGACGGTCCGTAAACGCACCACCCATCAAGGGTCCGGCCACACTCGCAATTCCATACATTGAACCCATCATCGCAGCGAAGATTGGTCGTCGGTTCAGTGGGACCGTCTGAGCAATGATAATGAGTGCCCCCGAAAATAGTCCAGCTGCCCCCAGACCGGCTATGGCTCGGCCAATGATCAGTGATAACGAGTTCGGCGCAATCCCACAGATCAGAGATCCCAGTTCGAAAATAAAAAGAGCAATCAAGTAGACCCATTTTGTGGAGTAGAACGTATAAAGCTTGCCGAACGTCAAGCACAATGAACATGTTGTCAGGAGGTATGCGCTGCCATACCAGCCCACATCTTCAAGGGACTTGAACTGATCTGTGATCTTTGGAATTGCCGTGGAAATGATAGTATTGTCCTAAGCAAGACAAGGTCATTAGTAAAAATTGTCTTCCAAAGGTCAAGTACAATAGTTATGACCGGCAAGTAATGAATGGACTTACCAAAGCCAGACAAAAGATGGCAAGGGCTAATGCGATGGTAATCAGGCCAAGTTTCCAAGAACTTGGATACTCCTCCTCCTCCTCTTTTTTCTGTGCTTCATCGCTTGGACTAGTGTTCGCCACAGGCATATTGTTTTCATTCTTTACTTCTGGGGCCAACGCAGGGGACTCTGCTTGTGAACCGGCCAGCGTACTCCCTTTCTCCATGGATGGTCTTCCCTCCCTTGCCATGTTGTCGGATACCAAACTGGTCGGTGGCGGCGAGCCAAGCGTGTCTTGCAGTTTATTGTCCTGCATTATATCTATCGACTTGAAGAATCTAGATGAGATGGAAATAAGAGGTTACGAAAGACGAGAAAAGAAAGTAACGTACATGGAAGGAGCGGTTGATGTCGTCAATCTAACGAAGGAAAAGTATAGAAAAGAAGTAAGAGGCAAGAAGGGTCTTCTTTTTCACAGATGAGGATTAACTTTGCCTGCGAGGTTGCCTTGGTGATATAAGACCGATCACTGATTCATTGATGCCCAGTGCCACGGTGACGATGCCAGAAGAGAGGTCATCCAATCGGTGAAGTGATCAGAAACCTCCGCAGCAGCCTTTCTTCAGAACAAGACTGGATTTCCATCTCGGGTTGCTCTGTACTACATCAAAGGAACGGGATCTTTTCCTCCCGACGCCCGAAGGCCCAAGGTATGCAATTGTGATCTAGAGAATACGCTAGAATGTCAGCTGTCCGCTCAGCTGTCCTTGCTCTATCCCGAAATAGTCATGAGATATCTCTTACGTAGGCACCCGATCCAGATTCGCTTCCTTTCTTGCCACGGAACCCTAGTAATGGTCCGTAATGAAGAATAATGAACTATGAAGTTCAAAAAACAACAAAGAAAGTGGCACGGTCTAGACTACGGACGGACCAGCATTGACCCTGCCGCTGAGCATTTTAAATAAGATGAATGACCCGCAGGTCTTTGTAAAGTGGGCTGACTGTTTTTGCAGGTGAATTCCTGGAGCTACCTAGTATGGGACTTCTCGCTTAGGGTTTTCTGCATCTGGGCTGCAGTTTGGCCTAGCGTGACCAATAAAAGGAAGTCAAAAAAAAGGATTTCTTGGCCATTCACAAGAGAACCATCTACTGGTACCACAGTATGAACGAATCTAGGTATCAACCTTATGTGCTCATGGATGAAACTCTAATGTCAGGTACCGTGATGAGCGGGTATTTTGGCGGAGCCTGGGTTTATATCTTTAGGCTATTGGCATTAACACCCCGACGGTTGGTCAAGGCTCTGATACATCAATACTGCTATTAGACTAACAAGGATGCGGTTAAAAAGGGTTTCAAGAGTAGGATTTTTTATTGCAACATATCATCCGTTCCATGAGAATGCTAGTTAACGCCATGAGAAAAAAAAAAGAATATTGTTACACCCTCCTTCCCAGCCACTCTCACTAACTCCAGGTCCTTTCACAGTAAGCCGTCCCTGCAAATTTGAGCACATGGCCTTCGCCGCATGAAAAGCGGCTAGGGAAGGTGAAGATACAGTAGTCTTCACCGACAGTCCGAGGTCACCCACTCAAAATGAACCATAAAAACAAGGGGGAATAAAGTTGAGATCATCGCAAAGTGTTAGTCATAGACCGCTACTGGGCCTTCATCCTGGCTTCTTCCTTGCTAGCCACCAGGGCAATCAACGCCGCACCAACACCACTACCATCCTTCGAGATACCGATGCGCACCTTCTTATCGCCGGCAACGCCTACCTCGGGCACCTCACGCAAGGCGTCACGCATGTATCCCTCAAAGTTAGGGTAGAACTCGACCAAGCTGCCGTCGACACCAACGTCCACCAGATCATCGGTCTCGAGTTTCTTGGTGGCGATAAGGGTGGCAGCAAGAGGCACGGCGCTCAGACGAGCAGCGCGCTTGCCAATGGCATGCACGATTGTCTTGACAACCTTGCAGTCCGTGGTGCTGGCCCCTTCGATCTTCAAGTGGTCCTTCAATGCCGTCTTGGTAGGCTCCATGCTCTCGCTATTGTCCGCTTCAACCAAGCTCAGGAGGCTGGTGTCAAGGCCCCATTGACGGAAGAGCGTAGCGTTTTCTGGCACAACCACATCCGACGAGGCGCTGGGCTTGAATAGACCCAGAGATTCATTGCGGTGCAGATCAACCAGGACACGGCGCAGAATCTCACCGAGGAACATTCCAGAAACTCGCTTCTCGAACATCTGGATGCCAGGGTTGTTGCTCTCCTCATCTAGCTGCTGGTCGTAGACGGTGTTGGGCAAGACACTCAAGTGGTTATCAAAGCTACCCCATTCAGCATTGATGATCATTTCACCCGTTGTCTTATCGTAGTCGGAATGTTCGATCGTAGCCATCTTAGAGATCTTGTCGAGCTTCTCGACGTAGGCACCGTTGGTACCCGTGCCGAAGATGGCACCCAGGAAGGTTCCCGTTTCACCAGGGGAGGTGTATGAACGGGCCATCAGGGTTCCAACTGTGTCATTCACAAGAGCGGCCACGCGCACGGGGAGCTCCAGAGCATCGAGCGCACTTTGCAATAACGCGCAGACATCATGGCCAACGGCGTCGGGAATGTTGAAGCCCTTCGTCCAGCGAATGAGGGTTCCCTTGTTGATGCCGACCTGGCGCACGGGGAAACTGAAAGTGAAGCCCAAATCAAACAATTCTTCTTCGCCCTTTCCTTCACGTCGACGTTGGAGATGGGCTTCAAAGTGCTCGTTGTGGTGGATACGCAGGAAAGCTTCGATCTGGCGAGCCAAGAAGGTGAAGAGATCCTTGGAGGTGCCGGAAGCCATCAATTCACGAGGGATCATGATTTTAGACTGTGTCAGAGAAAAGGTAGTGTCGCCGTGTAGATCTACTGAGCACACGCGAAAGTTGGTACCACCAAGATCTACGGCTAGGTACAGTCCCTGTCACAACAACGGTCAGATATACAATTGTGATGTAAGAAACAGGTTCAAAAAAAATATACCTTCTCTGTGCCATTTGGTACTGAGGTAACGAACGTCGGGATTTGGCTCAGAGTTGTGCCCTCCTTGCTCAGTCCCTCATCCATCTCCCGGATGTACTCTTTGACCCCGCGTTGGACCCCCTCGGCGGGGAAGTCGAACTGGCGGGCAATCCGCGCAGCCTCGTCCAACAAGGCGGATGACATTGTGGGAAGCGGGAGGAAACGGAAGTCGGATAGTGGGGGATTAGAGGGTTTTTAAAGAAAGTTGATAGAAGGATAAGTAGAGGGGTAGCAGGAAGTGAGGTTATAGGAGGGAACAACACGAGGAGATGTGGAGGGGTAGAAAATATGGCGGGGGGGAAAGAAAAGGGAAAAAAATTATTTTCCTGGAATTATATAGGTTGCATGGTATGCAAGCGATAATATTGAGGGCGCATACGTAGGGAAGTGACGAAGAGGGGTCGATGAGGTCAGTCAGTGGGCCAGATTTAGTTCTAAAGACGTCGAACCAATGGGGTTTCCGGGTTCGCCAGCGCTTCTCTTCACTGAGACCCTAGAATTATTGCATATTTTCCCGAACGTTTCGGGCCCCAATAGATCTGTCTTAGCATTGCATGGCGTGGATGCAAATGGAAGCTTGATGGTAGCGAACCCATACCATGACGCTATGAAACCGTGTGGGGGGTTTTACCGGTGAGAAACAATGGTTAGGACGGCGTGTAGACACGGGGAAGACACGGAAGGGAAGGAATGATCTTTATTGGTGGTGCAATAGACGAGGAGAATACTACCACCGATGTATACTAGTAGTATACTACAAGAATGGCCTTATCACGTCCGATGTGAGCGTTCTCCGTATGGAGTACTAGTAGTCTGGGGTGACATTTAGAGGCTGACCTGCATGGTGGTTAGGTGACAGAAGGTGGGGAAGTGTCTGGCAAAGTTACGCCGATTCCTTATTCCATGGGTGTCGAGTAACTCCTCCCCTCTCAGTAATTGTGCCTCTCTCAAGAGTACACCGCTAAGAAATCATATACTCTTTGTTTGACGCTTTGTATACACAGAGGAAAAAATCATCTGCCCTATTTTCACTTATCAGAAATACGTATTTCAGCCACTGATGGTACCCATGATCACGCTACACTTTATAACCTGATCCTATAACACTCTAGTCCTTGATTTGGATTCTCTGCTACTTGAAATTACCAACTACTAAGTACCACTACCGAACAACAAACACGGCAACAATGGTTACTACACAGTACAAATCTCGGTCACGGTACAGGGTTACATTCCGACCCGAACAGGCCAATTGAGACGCATTGAACAACAGCCCCCATGTAATCGTTTCAGGCCTAGATCAATCCTAAAACGCAAAAGAACTAGAAATAGGGCCGAGGGAGCAAAAGAACAAGAGAAAGACCAAAGAGTACACATCACTTGACTCCATACTACTTCCGTGCGCAAGCAGCAGCATACAACAAATGACTAAGCGTCACGTGATGTACACCGGCGGAAGTCGGCTGCTGCGTTGAAACGGCGATATGCGAACTCCTCTGACGACCTTGGAATTGCCCAGGCCCTGCTGTCTCCGCTGTCTTCACGGTGTTAAAATCGGAGCTCTACTCAGGCACCGACAAGGACTAAATTTGTCTTCCTTTATAAAGATCCAAGGGAAGGGATCAATTTTCATTAATTAAACACATAATGGGCGCCGGTAGCTCCAAGCCTGACGCTTCGGCGGGCTCGAAACATGTTTTTTCGAGGTATGTTTACGTTTGAACTGTCGGTCAATTGCTTTTTGGGTGGATATTTTGCCAGTCCCGGGTATGAAGTAGGGAAGAGACGGGCATTATTCGTACCTTAAATGAGGCAGGACACTTCACGCCGGATAATGGGTAGACTCGAAGAGGGAGACGGACCAGACACATTTCCCCCCAGATACAATGCGGCCTTCAAATCGAGTAAGCTAACACTGTTGATTTTTATAGCGGTGGCCCCGTCCAGTTCTCATCTAATCTTGTCGACAACCTCCAATCCAACACCGAGGTACGTATATATCCGCCAAAACACTTTCAGAGGAATTACCGAAAACAGCCAATTGGCAGCCAAAAACTAACCAGAATAGACGGACTCCTCTCGCGCAAAGAGCATCGAACTCCAGATTCAGGCCCGCGTAGCTCAAGAGCTTGAACGTCTCCGTCAACGCGAGCAGCAGACCCTTGCTGAGATCGAGAAGCGCATTGCGGAATCCAAAGACAGTGCTCCCTCGTCGTTCTCTTCTACACCAAACGTCAGCTACCCCCCTGGCTCGCTGAACCTGGACGCTCCCCGGATCCCCTTCGCAGGCCGCGAATACACCCCTGCCCCTGTCCCCGAAGCGCAGCCCATCAACCGTGATGTGTCCCGTGACTCGGTGAACACCGAAATCGAGGAACTGCGTGCTAAGCTTGAGGGCCGGAGAAAATTGGTTGAGATCGATGAGAGCGTTGAGAAGGCCAAGTCAAATGTCGTGAGCTGCTTGCGTTTGAATGACCGCCGGCCTTTGGACTGCTGGCAGGAGGTGAATGCGTTCAAGAAGGAGGTTGCCAAGCTTGAGGAAGCGTTCGTGGACCGGGTTGTTGGTTAGATGACGAAGTGAAAAACTATGTGTGTGTTACTTGACAATAGATTCCTCAGATCTCTCGTGTTATGTTGTGTGTATATGTTCCTGTATGTACCGGAATTAGGCTCAGGCTGTGACTATTACTTGCGTGCACTTTTTGGCCGCTTTATCGAGGTTACTCATGGTTTTAGTGGGTATTTTAAGATGGTTTTTTTCATGTCATGGAACTGCGTATGCCATGTGCAGTCTATTTTGAACATTTGAAACCGCCAACTTAGTGTATCAATACATATGGACAGTTTTTCTCATTTCGTTATCACCTGTAGGGGCAATATGGATATAACGCGTAGTTAATTCTACATCTGAGATAGAGTCTGAACAAGGAAGAGAATCCTGGGCATCATATAATCGTGAGATAGCTTTCTATACCTACACAGCACATGCATTCAAGCAACCTCCCAATAACCCAGTCTTCCTACCCTCTCACCCGCTCCCCGAACGATGCACATGGTTCTTTCTCGAGCCTTGCACTTTCCGAGGGCAGCTGGTGTGACCTTCGACATCTGTATCGAACCAACTCCTGTGCCCTTACCTGCAGAGAGATTGAAATTCCCTGTTGTTATAAAGCCGATGAGGTCTTCTTCGGACGGAAGGGGCAAATGCTCCTGATGGATATCTGTATCGATTTGGGCAGATAGAAGAGCTGCAGCGAGACGCGCTTGGGGGTCTGAGCTAGTGTTGGAAGATTCTCGGGAAGGTGACCTAGCACCAGTCGGTTTGGCTGATGCAAAAGAAAGCCATTTCTGACGAAGCTCTTGGTTGGTGGTAGGTAGACGGTAGATTCGAGCTCGCGGAGTAGGGGTGCCTCGATTGAATAAAGAAACCCGTACAGTCGCAAGAGCTGAGTTGTCAACACTCGAATTCTGGTCTCTGAGTGCGCGGTCGGCTTCGACTGGCTGTAGGTGGTGTATACCGAGCGGAAGACCACCCGCGAAGGCTTCCTCATCCTTGCCATCGTGTCTTGTAACATTTTCGCCCTCATTCTCCGGTTTCTTATATTTTTCATTGTGATCGCTGGCGTCAGGAGCTCCAGCACCCTGGACCAGTCTTTCCCAATCACATGCCCAACCCTGGCCAATCTCGCCTTTCTGGTCAGTTCCCAAATCAATACTGTCGAATTCAACTCTTCGTCCCTTAGGCCGTCGTTCCCATTCCTTCTTTGACTGTTCTCGGTCACGCAAGCCCCATTCCCACCCAGCGCGTGTGCCAGGAAAATCACCGGGGAACCAAGGTTCTCCTGCTTCAAAAGCAAGCTGTTGCTGCTCTTTTAAACCACCAAGTCTCGGGTTTCCGCCACTTGAGAGAGTATAATACATCAACGCATACCACACCGGAAGAACGCACTTCCAAGGGAGCAGTACAGTCCAGCTACCTGGAGCATTGTTATCCTTCGTTTGAGCTCTGGGTCGAGTTGCAAGGAGCATCACCGGGATTTGTGGATCAGTATCTCGAGGAGTCGGAAGGCGCCCAGGTCCAGCTTCAGCTCGTCGCCGATTGATGGCTTTTTGGCTTGGCAGTTGGCGCACGGCAGCCAAGCGTGCACGACGGTCAAAAATAGAAGGCATTGTTTGTGTACGATCAGGTGCCCAGGATGACAAAGTCATAGCCAGGTCTTGCATGTCCTTCTCAGAGGAAGGGGGTCTCAAAGTTTTGTGTGGGAAACGGAGACGAGGATCAGATATGGAAAATGCAAGAAGGGCATTTTGTGGGAGAGATGAAGGATTCGAGACGCCCAGTAGAGAGTTCCACGTAACTTCCGGGGTGTTCGATGGTTTATCGTTCTCATTCAACTCGACCGGCCTCAGCACCGCTAACAGAGCTTCAGTGGAGCCCGGACCTGTGATATCAATGCTGCCAATTTCGAAACGAAGATCTTCAATCATCACGGGAGGGTTCTGTCTCTTCGAAACCTCGAGGAGCTCATTCCACAATTGTAAGAACGCAGACGGGTGTACTCTGATAAAAATTTTCTTCTTATCTTTTATGGAGTCTTTGTTCTTTGCAGGTTTAGCATTTTCTGCATCCAACATTTCAACATCTCCCATCTTTTCCTCAGCACATCGAATCAAAGTGACTGGCGCAATAGGTCTCCGTGGCCCATCGCGCTCATAAGTCCACACCTGCAAAGCCCTTGTTCCGGATCTCCATTTTTTGCCCTTTGGGCCCCATACTTCATTCCCGTCAACGCCAACGGCTCTCAGAACACATTCTAATGCGCCTTCCGTTCCCTCCAGCTGAATGGTAGACATATAGCTCATATCCCAAGCCACAGCGCCCCTAGCGCCCCTTGCCCGGTGAGACGGTCGGTAACTCTTCTCGGTTGGGGACAAAGGAATGGCGAATCGCCACAGAGGATCTTTAGACGTAGCCATGTGGGCTCGTTTTGCATGAAACATGTGCGTAGGGAGCCACGTCTTGCATCTTTGCCGCTTCTTGAATTTGGACTCTGGCGGGGGTGGGCGTGAGAGCTTATTTTTCTTGATTTTAGGGACACGCGGAGCAATATCAAATGAGTGACTGCCCGCCTCTTCCAGCGACTTCTGGTCCTCTTTATCACGCCTAGCTTTCGAATGAGCTCTCTTGGCTTTGGTCTTGGAATTGAGGTTTTGGAGACGTCTGGCGGTTTCAAGACGGATGCGCATGGCCTCTGTTGGTTTCCTCCGACGTGCAGTTACAGTTGGTGTGTTATCTTCCATCATCTATTCAGGTCACAGATTTTTAGCAAGATTTTCCACATGGCTTAGTCTGAGCCCTCACTGGGACCATCCAGTTCGTAAAACAATCAGATATAGTTCTAGCATACCTCTCTCTTCGCCCTTGCCCTCAACCTACTTGGCACCCTCTTCACATTGTGGCTGGCCGTTCTCCTCCTCAACGATCGAGGTACTTGCTGGAACGCGCGACTCGTCAGGGCAGCCTTCGATCGCTGCATGCCCGACTCCAGGGCACGAATTTCGAATTCACGAGCTTCGAGATATGCGGCAACATCGAGTTCTCCTGAAGCAGAAAGGGCAGATTCGGCTGACTGCGCAGCAAGTGTGCGGGCATCGAACGTTTTGGCGCGCTTCCGAGCTGCTGCGGAGCCATTTTGTGCTCCTGCATGGGCGGACTTGCGCTTCGAAGCGGGGTTGAGGGCCATTATGGCCAATGGAGGTGCTGGAAACTGGGCAGGACGTAGTTAAGAAAGGTATACGATAATAAAGGAAAACCAACTCTAGCTGTCGAAATAAAGTGGCGCTAAATGTGGTCTGGAATTAAAATTCTATGTCATAGCTGTAGGAAAGTGGTGCTCGGAAAGCTTTAGCGCGTCACACGCCAATGATAGACCGCTAGCCTGCTTTTAGTAAAAGAGCATAGGCCCGGCCCCGGGCCACCATATCGCAGCCAACGTGTGGGGAAGTCAGGATGCGAAGGTACTAAAGTTAAGTCTATTGCTTCAAACAGAGTCTTTTCACAGGAGAAAAGGTAATTGATTCTTGTCTGCCTAAAACTAGCTGATCTGTTCCTTTTATTTCTGCCCTTCCTCCTCCGTTCTTTATTGAAAGAGGAACTACTCCGTAGTAGTTGGCCGCAACAATGACACCACATACTATGTAGGGGTTAATGTCTACCCTAAGGGAATATCTTCCTTTGTGCCTGGTAATAAAAAGGTACGAGTGAACTATAGATGGGCGTACGGGGTGAATATGTCCTCCCTAGATATGTCACTGCGCAAATTCAGTCACAGATATTCCTCAGCAGCAGCCTCCTCCTAGCAATATTTTTTGGGAATCACCAACTGCCTAATTCTTCTCTTCAAACAAATCAAGTCATCCCGAGAGCTTGTGTATACAGACATCCCCAAAAATTGGGGATGGGAGATTGTTGATCATCTCAATAACACTATCGAGAGACCTTGTCGGTAATAAGAACATTATACTCGAATCTACACTCACTTAAGCTTAAATTAATCTTGTTATTTTCAGGAAACATTACAACTCAGTTAAAGGAGTCTTTTGTGTTCGTGTCATGCCCGAAGAAATCCATGACTGCCATCAAAAGTGGTGGCACGATCAGTAGTTAAAATGGATCTCAACTCTACAAGAGACTAGCAATGACATGTCATACATTTGGCCTGGCGTCGGAACCAGTCAGTATACCTTGTTCTGCTTTGTGTACTGCACTGTTGCTAATATCTACAGCCTTCAGCTCCTTCCAGAGCCCGTACGTGGGCTGCCGTAAAGAGCCAGATTTCTTCCTGCGATCAGACAGCATACGTATGCCCGAATTCGTTATTGAAACTGGCTGGAGTGAGTCTTGGAGCAGACTACAGCATGATATGAACCTGTGGCTTGTCGGCGGCGCTGGAGATGTTGGTGCGGTACTGTTGTTGAAATGGAAACGGATTGGTGATTCGAACAAGGCCCGAGGCAAAGCAGAGCTTTATGCTTTGGATCGAAACGGGATTCCAGTCATGGAAGACTCAAAGGTACTGTACTCGAATCCTTTCACACACTCTCTTCTATTGCATTTAATCAAGCATGGGTCATATTCCCTATGCCATCTCTGCCCTGTGGCACCCCGGAAAATATCTCTATCTCGCGACGCCTTTTACTGGGCCCAGGTTGCCAGGGGTCACTGGACTGGGACATCAACGACCTCCGCCGGATAACAATTACTGCCCTTGGCTTTATGGGTTTGGTGCCAGCCTAAATTAGATATTGCTAACCAAAATCTCACAACCTCCTCCATATGGGTCCTTCTATTCCAAAGAGAATTAGTCATGGTTAGATCTTTGGAGACCGGGCTAACGGAGCTAATTCGTACTACGCGATATAAGGTTATTGATTGACATCATACTACGGACAAAGGAAGAATGTTCACGATTTCATAGCTTCGTTATTTATTGTATCTCTAAAAGTGGGCTGTCTATTTCTAAAACATTAACCCCACTGCTGAAACGCCAGCATCCTCTAGTAGTCCCACGTCATATTCCTTATTCCTGTTGATGTATTTAGAGGTTCTTGATGACGGTCTCAGCGCGCGAGAACTGCGATGATAGTGAGCGTGTGTTCAATTAAACAGTCCAAGAGATTGCAGCCGATGGACACTTACCTCGAGGTGGTTCTTGGCGGGCTCAAGAGCAGCGTAGGTGACCTTGCCGTGGTCAATGACGATGGCGTAGCGCTTGGTGCGGCCCTCCTCGTCAGCCCAGCCGAGGCTCTTGGAGAACTTGGCCTCGGGGTCGGAAAGGAAGAGCTATAAGGCCAGTCAGCAATGGAACCTAGTAGCTAAATGTGATGTAGGTAATGAACATACGATGTCGTCGTTCTTGACATTGTTGGCCTTGGCCCAGGCGCTCATGACGTAGGCATCGTTGTAAGCAAGGACAGCAACAACGTCGACACCCTTCTCACGGATCTCAGGGAGTCTCTCCTGGTACTCGGGGACGTGGCGAGCAGAGCAGACGGGGGTGAAGGCACCGGGAAGAGCGAAGAGAATGACCTTCTTGTCGGCCCACTCCTTGGAGGCGTTGTAGTTGATGGGGATACCGCAAGCGTTGAACTCCTGAGCCTCGGGGGTGTAGGGGATGTAGCTTTGGTAGAATATTAGTATCAACACAAGAAGGTTCAAAGGGTGGGATTAGGAACTTGAACTTACGAGAAGACAACGTCGGAGGGGAAGCTGTCACCGGCCTTGATTCCAGACATTTTGATTGAATTGGTATGTGAGATTGAGTTGAAACTTAAAAAAGAGAAGTGGTTGTGGATGGGAAAGGGTGTTTATTTATGTGATGTGGGTGATGCGGAAAGTCAGAAGAAGAGAGGAGCGAGGGGCAGGAGCATGTGGCGGTTAATATATGGTAGGTTCCCTTTCGGAGATCGCGTCCCACGGGCCGTACGAGGCACACCTAAGGTGATCCAAACCAGAAGGATGCCGAATCTTTTCGATTGGAGGGCTTAGGTGTGCTGTATTATCAAGAAGACCGCCCGAGACTGAAATGCCCCACTACCCTTTACTCATGGTTACCAAGGTACGTATTGATCCGACGAATCTTTTTCACTTGCCTAATGAAGTCATCCCGGGCCCCCCGTACGGAGAAAGTGAATTGCCATCCTTTATGCCATGTATCTTACTTAATCCTTACTGTACCTCCATTCCATCTCCTCAATGATGGCGTTATGGGATCTTGAGATGATGATTGTTTGTGTCCCAATGGCGAGGAAGGTGGATCTAGTAAGCCAATTTTGAGCCAATCGCGGCTATACCCCGTATGCATAGCAACCACTTCGGTAGCCTTTTTCCTTATCTAATTGCTCTCAGGCGTGTTTGTTCCGAGACGGCTATTGTCCTCCGTACGGAGTATGACCAAAGGGGAAAAAAAAAAAAGGGACCTTGATATCTCCGACTTTCACCGCCTACCGTCTGCCCCTCGTTTTCACGTGACTGGCGCATGTACAGACAGTGGCGTAGCTTTATTACGTTTTAATTTTCTTTTAAATAAAGACAAAAGTGCTATATGTCATGAAAGATTCGGTTTCTATTTTCCTGGTTCATGAAAAACCAGGTCAAAAGTAAGATTAGTACCTAGTAAACTAAGTTCGACTATCTTGCCACTCGGACCTGAACAACTTCGGAGGCATCCGAGGGGCGGAACCATCCCGAGAGTGAAAGATCTGATAAGATTTGTCCATCTACTCGTAGGAGTTCCATCAGGGGGAAGCTCAGTTTTGAAGAATTCGGTCATTCGCCGCCTTGAAGCACCAATCCGTATAGGTTCCGAAGTACAGGTAACCTTTCAAGACTCCAACACCCAGGGCTTACATAAGGAATAGGTCTACGTTGGGGCAAAGGATATCTAGCCTGGTTCGGGATTACACATCAACAAGGTTCTAGAAGCAATACGCTTTCTTATCTGGACACGCTGAGCCAATAGTTTGTTAATAATTCCACGACTTCGAAGATTACTAACCGCACCAGGAACTGTCTAAAGGGGGGCGGGGAATGGCCACGTCCTTGTAAGGCTGTATCTTTCATGACGTTTGTGTTTGCGTGAATATCCGTCATGTTTATTTATACGTAACATTCATGTGGTATGTTGTCAGTAATTTAGCGTCTTGCGGAATATAGGCATCGTTAATCTATCTTGGATTCTCTATAGCTAAGTCTCAAAGGCCGTTGCAGTTCGAGGGCATGTATATACAAATATATATTTTGGCAGAGAGTTATGTACCGTCCCCAACATAGGTACCAACTCACAAGAGATGCAAACAAAGCTTTGATACTACGGCAGCATTATACCTATATAGCAAGCAATTTTCTCTTTTTAAAATGAAGGGAAAAAAAAACCTTAAGGTGGTTTATAGGTAGCCTGGTACGCACGCCTGCAACATATCACGAGGTAGTTGAATTTGGCATATGTGCTTTATGGTTTACCTCACAGAAGCGAGTACCTATACTCCAAGGAAATGAGATGTTCCACCTCCATGTATACCAATTAATAAAAGGATGTAGGTGCATATAAGTCAAAGTGTACGATTTCGAGAGCCTAGTGCTGCCGCTCTGGAAGCTCGTACAGACATATAAAGCCTGTAATGATGTCATGTGGCAAAGATGACTCCATACACAGAGCTTTCTCTCCATGTACTGTGTATTTGCCTCATACTTTGCACTTTGTATGTGAACCTGATGTTCTTATAAAAATTGTAGTAGTTTCGGAAAAGCGCAGTTCTGATGTCGAGTACGCTTCAAATCCCGAACTCTATGTATCGGCCGAAAGATGTCAAAGTGCAACCCCATAGCTTTAATTGAACGTACCTACATAAGATAAGACTAAAACGATAACTTGCATAAGGCTGACACGTGACAAGGCTTATATACATGTCCCACATTACTTACTAACGTCTTACTGTGACTCAATCTGATGTACGCACACACTGCCGAGAAAGGAATTATACGCTGTTGAGGTCGTGCTTTAGATCAATATGGCTGACATCAAACCACCGTTCACCGAGGAGTCGGCGAGAAAGAAGGTCAAAGCAGCACAGAATTTGTGGAATACCCAGTAAGTATGGTCTACCTTGAGCTCCAACAACCATCCCTCTGGCCCTTCGTGCTTGGTCTTAAATGTAGGGATTTCATGGCATTTTATCCCATGCTGGCACGAGGGGCTATAGTTATCCCCCCATGACATGGTTTTGATGTTTCATCCCTTGCTCGTAGTTATGCGACCACCTCGTGGCTCAATTCATCTGTCTCCACTTTATTTGCATCGCTCTTTCCCCTTCATACTCTCTTTCAAGTTTCAGTCGCATTGGTACAGCTTACTGTACTGAAAAACCGGTCGCCTTCTACTTACAATATGTGAATTAGAGACCCAGTACGTGTTGCTCAAGCCTATACACCAGATTGCGTTTGGCGCAATCGTACTTCATTTTTCTCCGGGACGGATAATATCACCTCTTTCTTAACTGCAAAATGGAAACGTGAAGCAAATTACAGGCTTCGGAAGGAGCTGTTTTCCTTCACTGACGACCGTATTGCGGTGCAGTTCTGGTATGAATATCAAGATGTTGAAGATGGGATGCGCTGGAAGCGCTGCTACGGCCTCGAGGACTGGACCTTTGACCGAGAAACAGGAAAGATGAGGAAAAGGATGATGAGTGGTAATGACTTGGTCTTGGGACCTAATGGGAACGGAGAAGGGAGGTGGTTTGTCGATGGTGTTGATGTTGAAGATGTGGTGATTAGTGAGGAACATTGGTGATGGGCTTAAAGTCCAGCTCTTATTGCACGATTCGACTCAACCGTTGCGCAATTTTACAAAAGTGACATGCCAAGTCGATGATGACAGCGACCTTCCCTAATTTCCGACATTTTTGGCATATTGATTCACACGACGTACCAAGCCCTGGCTCATTATTTTAGTTCGAAACTAGTTTACCTGCCAGTTGGGTGCTCGGCATCTTCTTTGATTGCCCAGAAGAGCTTAGCTTTAATGGACCTCTGGGAACTTATCTGCAGGTGATGAGCATGCCTGGAATGTCTCATTCGCGGTATTAGGATCCTCGTACCTCTCGTTGAATGTCCTCCCTCCCTCCCTTGATTCAGAATCCCTCCCCTCCCCCTTCCCCAACCCTAATGTTGATATTTTGCCATCAAGGATATTATTATGTAAAACAAAACCGAAAATCCAAAGAAAAAGAAAAAAAGAAAGATACAGATGTTGACCACTTCATGAGATAATGCTTTTACTGTCGAGAATCTGCAGCGCTTTTGGAAAGCCCAAAAGGAGGAATGTAAACTCGACTGGAACCAGCCACTGTAGCCTGTCAGCGTTGACCAATGTATTCGATAACCAATGACACGGGCAAATCCCTGGTGGGGACTTCTGTATGCTACGCGGAGCAAGGGGTGTGCGCTGGCTGTTTACCACCGCGATTCACCTTTTCTGGTCCGCCATGGCCAGGTATACTACAACTGACTTGTGCTCGAGTACATCTGAAACTTCTAGAGTTCAACCTTGACCAATATAGACTTTGTATGTTAATCAAATTCGAGTGAAGCATGCTCCCCTCTCAAACCTGGAAACATAGAGGGTTAATGTAGTACATTCCAGAGAGTGAGATCTCCAGATGCCCGGGAGACCTGAGGAATTCAAAGGAAACAAACGCTTCAACTCTCATTCCGCGACCGACTTTGAACTCAACATGGTATGCTCTAATCCAACTAGCGTGCCGTGTTTGCTATGGGTGGGAGTTGGGTATGCTCCCTGGAACCCTTGGAGTGGAAATCACTCTGGCGCGTTGAAGACTGTCGGTTATCCTTCTCAAGTGCTCTCTGAATCGCCAATACAACAACAGTCCGACTGTATACTGGCGCCAACCCGTGTCGCCGATATACCCCACGCTCTCTACCCGTGCACTCGCTAATACGTGTTTGATTTTCAGCTTGGAGATAACTAACCTAAGGCGACTCAAAGCGTAATTTGCAAGTCCGCGCTTCTATTTTGTTAAACGGGAGTTCCTGGAGCTAGTAGGTATAGTTACAGTCTATCACTTTTCTATGTGGCTTTCAGAAATCCGCGTCAATTATATTTCCGTCTGGTCAAGGTGAGCCGAAGTCGCCTACGTATAGACGGAAATCTGACCCAGAATTTCTATCTAACGATATACAGTTTTATCGAGGAGAATTTCCACATGTGGCCTGGCAGTGATTGTATCCAAGCGTCGTGTTAGCCTGCGGTTACATGGCAATGGAACAAAAGGCTGCCCCTCTTAGTCCGGAGTCCGTACGAACGCCTCTTGTCGATGTTAGCAACAGAGTCAACATTTATCCCAGCCCAAGTTTGGTACAAGAGGAAGGATCAATGGGGGACCTCCAATATCTGAGCTCGCCACAGCCAATGTCTATAGTGACTAGCCCACCCGAACAGAGAGGATATGTGGATAACAACTGTCTTTCGCCGACGGCGAACGTGAAGACTTCATCTAAGCGGAACTCGACCTTGTCAGCGAAGTCAATCATTTCAAACCAAGGAAAGCGCAAAACCCATATCGGACCATGGCAACTGGGGAAGAATCTTGGGGAAGGCACAACAGGTCGGGTGCGACTAGCTAAGCATAAGTATACTGGGCAAACTGCGGCAATTAAGATAGTGTCGAAGACGTCTGCGGCGATGACCCAGAGTGTCAGTATTGCAGCAATGGACAAGAGTAGAGGGCTTCGCGGTAAATCAGGGGCCAGGCAAATGCCATCTGGAATCGAGCGGGAGGTCGTTATCATGAAACTTATTGATCACCCAAACGTCGTCCGTTTGTATGATGTGTGGGAGAATAGAGGCGAAATGTAGGTGGGCCTTGAGGCTTCGATCATAGCAGTACTGACATCCGACAGATATCTTGTACTCGAATACGTTGAGGGCGGGGAGTTATTCCACCACATAACAGATAATGGACCACTTCAAGAATTCGAAGCAGTGAAGTTGCTCCGACAGATCCTTGCTGGCCTTGGATACTGCCATCGCTTCGGTATCTGCCACCGAGATTTGAAGCCGGAAAATATTCTTTTGGATTCACAGGGCAACGTGAAACTTGCTGACTTTGGAATGGCCGCTCTTCAACCGGAGGGTTATTGGCTTAAAACATCCTGTGGAAGTCCACATTATGCTGCCCCGGAAATCGTTAGAGGTGATAATTACCGCGGCGATATGGCTGATCTCTGGAGCTGTGGTATTATCCTATTTGCGCTACTAACCAGTTATTTGCCCTTTGATGGCCACGACCTAAGTAGCACGTTGAAGCTGGTGAAAACAGCCAAGGTTGAGATTCCACCGGATGTGAGCTACGAAGCGGCGGATCTCATTCACAAGATCCTTCAGAAAAAGCCAGAGAAGCGCATCACTATGGCAGATATTTGGAAGCACCCTCTTTTGAAGAGATATGAATGCTTAGACCCAGTAATGTCTAATCCTCGTATAGGCCCTGCACCTCCGTGGTCTGTGCAGGAGTGTGGACCGCGAATTAGCAGACATGAACTGGAGTCGGAGTCTGATATATTAAGGAACCTTCAAACATTATGGCACGACGTGGAAAAGGAGGTCTTGATTAAAAGAGTATTGGATCCAGAGTAAGTTTTGTTCCCTACGATATAGCTCCGCTCTCCTGTTTGATTCGTGCAAGTAGAAGTTTTTCTTGACTGACAAGCCTACAATAGACCGACTCTTGAGAGGATGTTTTACAATGCTCTAGCCAGGTTTAGAGATGAGCATTTGGAGAGCTGGCCAGGACAGTCTCTTGAGTACTCGGCCAGTGACTATCACCATATGTCCAAGGATTCAAATGAAACCTTCATCCAACGAGATAATCGCCGCTCTAGAGGATCCCGACGACGTGGACAAGTTCCCATAGGCAAAGCTGGTCAATTAAGGAGCAATGCTATTCAAGAGCCAAAATCCTGCGCAACTGTGGGAAGCTATGATCCCTTCCGCTCACCATGTCATATTGTGCCCGAAAAAGAAGGATATACCCAAGTCACAATCCATAGGGACCTTCCGGACAATGCAGGCAAGAGGGAAGATTCTGATGGAATTGCAGAGTCAAGCATCATATCTGAGGAAGACTTTAGAGAAGAAACTCCATGCCCCCCGAGCTCTCCTTTTGCGATTGTACAGAACAAGAAAAAGCCGAGCTCTCTGAAGTCTTTCCACTCAAGAACCTCACATGTCGGCAACCGACGGCAACTCAACGGTATGACAGCGCCTCGTTCTGCAAGCTACAAGCGAAACGTTTGTTTCCGCCACATGAGAAACCGTTCACATGGTTCAACAACCGCAATAAAAATGAAGAGTTTCCCTACCAATGTCCCAGATAAGGACATGAGCGAGAACAGTCTGGTGTCCGTAGACGCCGGCCCCTTCGCTGATCGGGAAAACAGCCCACTTTTGCCTGCCCAACCAGCTGTGGTACGAAGGCCTGGTGTTGCGTTGAGGGCGTGCGCCCCTCAGAAGAAGGTGCGCGAGTCTGACTTTATCTGGAAGGATGATACACGCCAGGTGTCGCATGAGCTTAGCCAAATCTGCGAGGAGGCCTTTAATCGCGCCTCACTGTCAACAGGCTGCACGACAACAAGTACATGCATGAGTGCAGAGACCCCCGCGACATCGGTGTCTATGGCTAGTCCTGAGGCATCACATAGTCGTATTGCTACTAGCAATTCAAGAGTTCTAGTGACACCACCCCCAAGATCCTATACTGCTGCAGAGTTGACTGAAACGCGGCGTAAACTCATTGCCCATTCCACACAGGACGGCACCGAGGGCGTACCTGGATACCTTGTACCTGTGATCAAGCACCTTGATCGTCTTATCGAGCAAGACAAGGCGCGGCAGCGTGAGCAGTTCTTTACTCCCGAGCCTGCTACTGAACCAGCGGCACAACCTAGCGAACAGTCATGGGATATTGGTGGTCTGCCAAAAATATCAGAAGAGCGCCATAACCGACAAAGCAGCGGAGGAGGACAATATAAGCCGTATCGACCTGGTCTAACAACAAGCACCGCCACTAACACAGGTCGTCTTAACCGGAATGGCGTAGGAACTATCCGAATGGTCCCTCAAAGTTCTGTGCCTTCCTTGGAAACTATTCGACCTCTAACAATTCGCAAGAAAAGCGAAGAACCATCTTCTAATGATCATCACGAGCTATTTACGGACGGCTCCAACGAGGAAGACCTTGCACCTTGCAGATATTCTTCCTTAAACTCCTTCTATCCCCGTCAACCTTGTGAGCTGGATCCAATCGCAGAAATTCCGCCAAAGTCAGAGAAGCGCAACGCAGCGCGACATCCCGACAACAAGAAGTGGTCATGGTTACCCATCAAGTACCAGCCACCTACAGAAACCGCAATCAAGAATCTGAAACCGCTACACCCAGTCGACAGAACTGTCACTGTGCATCCTGTTGCAGACAGCTCAACCAACCAGCCAGAGACTCCAGGAGGAAAGACCAAAGGAGGCTTCTTCAGAAAGTTCATGAAGGGGAAAACAAGTAACCGCAAGCACACTACAACAGGTCAGTAACGTCCAACAAATATCCTATGAACATCACCTGACAAACCTATACCAGACTCCCAAATGACAGACACAAAACCCACACTCAGGAACTCCACAGAACATGCTCGCCTGGTGAACGCCGACAAACCCCTCCCCCAGAGACCTGGTACCTCACGCAAGCCCGTGAATTGGTTTGCACGCATGTTCCAGTTCAC